TTCCTGTGCTCCAAGCTTGCGGGCAGTTCAACTTCTGCTCCGCAGTCGGGCATGGTGGCTTCCTCTTCACAGTCGTGAAGCGCTCGCGCCTGTGACGCTTGTTGCTTCTGCTTCACAGTCGAGTCTCCGCGCCGTCGTCATTATTGTATTTTTCGAACAGCTGCCACTTGCGCACTCTTCTGCCCGCGCGTCCTGCTGGATGCTCGGTGGTGGATACGATGCGATTGACGGTCACAAAAAGAAGTCGTCAGATATTAAGCACGTCGGTACACTTGCAGGTGTCGATTTGGATTCGAACTGGCGCTGGACTGGCAGCCTGGCTTCGGGCCTGCGCATCCAAGCTGTCATGTAGCGCGGCTTCCGCGATGGCCTGGGCAAAAGCATCGCGGCTGCGGTTTGTCAGCAGGTGCTGGATGTGCTTCTCGAGCAGCAACACCTTGTCCTCTTTTCGGGGCCGAAGCATCGGATTTGCTGTGGTGCATCACGATCGCCCGCGTGCCGCTGCCTCGGCGCTTGTAGCACTTGCCACTGCACCGGAAGGCCACCGATCATGCCCGCTGGTCCACCTGAGCCAGACGGTTCGAGAATTATCCCCACATTTTTCTTGTGTAAAACAGTTTGTTGTTATTTTCGTTTTTTTCTCCTCTCGCCCTTTCTTTTTCTCTCTCTCTCTCTCTCTCTTTCTCTCTCCCTCTCTCTCTCTCTCTTTCTCTCTCTCTCTCTCTCTCCCTATCAATGTTTCTACAGTTGTATGTATGTATCTACATCCATAAATCTATTTCTTAGTTGTAACCTCACTTTACTCTGAAGTTGTAGTCCTGTCATAGTACGTGGCATGAGGCGTCGGAAAGAAACGACAAACGTCATGCCACCGCCATGATCAGTGGTCGGAGCCATGATTATAGGCCGTGTGGAAAGATGATCGGCTCCCGAGCTCTTGCTCGACGTGGCCGCATGGCGGCTCTTCTGCAGCATACGGCCACGCTTGAGCTCCTGTCCCTGATGTGGCTTCGGGGGCAGACTGTCGTAACCTGTCTCTTACTGCTAAGGAGGCTGCGAGGCGATCTTCACCGATACATGTTTGCCATCCATCGTGTTGAATATGCTACCATAGCGTATTTGCCGTCCGCACACCGGCCAACATTAGCCTCTGCTATCGCACGTTCGTCCTATACGGCACCATTGCTGTCTGCGTGCGCTGTTTGTTGCCATATATGAGCAAAAGGGTCCCGTCGATTTACGTGGTACTGGATGTTAGCCATTCAAATGCAACCTCGTCGTTTTCGGTGACGCTGCAGCGATGCAATTTGCGCTGATGATGATGCTTTGTTGCAGCCGCTTTGTGATGGAACGCGTGCCAGCATTTATTGGGTTGCTGCCTCCTTCCCCCTTTCCTTCCCATTTTCCTTCTCCCCATCCGTCGCATCCTTTTCACTCCCCTCCTCTACCCTGTCTTGCCAGCGTCGCCCACTTCCCAGGCTCCAGTTGAGATGTTGTTTCCTCCAACATCCTTTTGACACTCCTCGGCATTCTTCCGACGCTCCACACCCTCTCCCCCTGTCTCCCGTCCCTGCCTCGCTTCCCCCCGCCCCCTCCGCGCCCTCTCACCCTGCTTCCCTCGGGAGGCCGCTGTGGCCGAAGTGGTCGACCCGCTGGTGACAGCCGCCTTGCCCGATGGGCAGGCATTGCCGCGTGCACATTTCTGTTTTTGTTTTTGTTATTGTTGTTTCTGCTGCTGTTGTTGCTGCTGCTGTTGTCGTTGTCGTTGTCGTTGTCGTTGTCGTTGTCGTTGTCGTTGTCGTTGTCGTTGTCGTTGTCGTTGTCGTTGTCGTTGTTGTTGTTGTTGTTGTTGTTGTTGTTGTTGTTGTTGTTGTTGTTGTTGTTGTTGTTGTTGTTGTTGTTGTTGTTGTTGTTGTTATTGTCGTTGTTGATGTTGTTGGTGTTGTTGTTGTTGTTGTGGTCGTTGATCCCCCTTCCCAGGTAACCATTGTATTTTCCATATTCAAGTGCTCCTCCCGGGGCTCGCACCTTGTTCTTTACAAGGGAAGACGAGGTGTCACCAAAATGTGTTGTTGGCCCCCGGTTTGCAACGACAACGGCTCACGCCTGATATTTCCGCACAATTTGTTCCCGAACCGCGCTCTCGCGCGGGATTTTCTTACAATTTATTAGGAATCGCGCTCTCGCGTGGGACTTCTCACAATTGAATCAGACGCCGCGCCCTCGACACTCAGGACTCACGCCCTCGCTGTGGATTTCCTCACGATTTATTCGGGGAATCGCGATGTCGCTCGAGACTTCCTCGTGATTCATGCAGGACGCACGCTTCAGCAGCCCGCCAGCTCGACCTGGCCGCCTGGACCCGCCTTCCCGACCCGCCCGTTCTGGTCTACCAGCCCGATCTGCCCGTCTGGTTCTGCCACGTGTTTTCTGATCCTAGCCCCTCTCCTGCTACTTCGTGCTCCATCCCAGTCCCTCCCCCTTGTCCCTTTCTTCCATCCGTCCTCTCTTCCCCTGCCTTAGGGGCTGCGCGAGATACACGTTGCAGGTAAGAACTAATACCAGAATACCCCCAAGGGGGTACGATCGAAAACGAAGAGGGTAGGTTTCGAGGGTTTGGGATTGTAGGGGCCTCTGGCCAGTGTCGCCGATCTGGGGCGCTTTTGATATCATTGGTGGGATGGGCGATGACGACGACAACGGACGACCAACGGTCGACGAGTGGGATCATGACGACGACGACCGACAGAGGGGGGGAAAGAGGAGGACGAGGAGGAGGAGGAGGAGCAGGAGGACGAGGAGGAGGAGGAGGAGGAGGAGGAGGAGGAGGAGGAGGAGGAGGGGGAGGAAGAGGAGGCTGATCATGATGATGACGATGACGGTGACGTTTACGATTATGTAGTGGCCTTCGGCCAGTGCCGCCACCGTGCCTGGGTGGTGTCGGAGGGCTCTTCAGTGTTCGTTGGGATCTCGTGGTAGGTCTCTCGGGGGCCTCATGGGTACACTTTTGAGGCATCCTGGGGGCCGTTGTGGAGACCCTCGGGGCCTCTTTTGGGCCTCTTGGGGGTCTCTTCTGGGCCTCTTGGGTCCTGCTAGGGGCCTCTTGGGGGCCTTTCGGGACCTCTTGGGGCCCTCTTGGGGGCCTCTTGGGGGCCTCTCGGGGGCCTCTTGGAGGCCTCTGGAGGCCGAGAGCTCGAAGTTTCCGTTCGGGTTCCCCGTCTGGCTCCCCTCTTGGAGCCGTCTTGAGAGCCTCGGGGGCCGTCTTGGGGCTCTTTTGGGCAGTCTTGGGGCCATTTTGGGAGCCTCTTGGGCAGTCTTGGGGCGATCTTAGGGGCCTCTGGGGCCGCCTTGGAGCGTCGGCAAGCCGAAAAGGCGGGAAGGCCAGAATCCTTCCAAAACAACCGTAAAATTTATGATTTTGGCCTCTAAGGGGTCTCTTCTGAGGGCTCTTGGAGGCTTCTTGGAGCGTCTCGGCGGCCTCTTGGGCCGTCTGGAGGTCATCTTCGGCGTCTTGGAGCGCTCTTTGGGCGTCTCGGGGTCTTCTGGGGCCGTCTTGGGGCTTTTGTGGTCCTCTTGGGGCCGTCTGGGGATCTTGGGGCCCTCTTGGTCCATCTTGGGGCTTTCGTGGGCGCGGAAAAGCCCCCCCCCCCCCCCCCCCGGAAAGCGGACCACAATTCGTCCCCCCCCCCCCCCCTTCCCCGTCAGAGCCCCCCCGGCCCCCCCCAGCAGAGCTGAAGCTCAGGCTCGAGGCTGTAGGCTGTAGCTGAGACTTCTTCAAACTCACACGCCGTATCGGCGGGTTTACGTTTTAAATCGTACGCGAGCAGGTAGGAGCGAACACTTTTAGAGTTACTACGGTTGTTGTTGCTGTTGTTGTTGTTGTTGTTGTTGTTGTTGTTGTTGTAATTGTAATTGTAGTTGTAATTGTTGTTGTTGTTGCTGTTGTTGTTGCTGCTGCTGTCGTTGTTGTGGTTGTCGTTGTGATTGTGGTTGTGGTTGTGGTTGTGGTTGTTGTGGTTGTTGTTGTTGTTGTTATTGTTGTGGTTTTGGTTGTTGTTGTGATTATGGTTGCTGTCGTTTTTGTTTTTGTTTTGTTGTCGATGCTGTAGTTTCTGTTGTTGGTGTTGTTGTTGTCGATGCTGTAGTTTCTGTTGTTGGTGTTGTTGTTGTTGTTGCGGTTGTTGTAGTAGTAGTAGTAGTAGTAGTAGTAGTAGTTGTTGTTGTTGTTGTCGTTGCTGCTGCTGCTGCTGTGGTTGTTGTTGCTGTTGCTGTTGTTGTTGTTGTGGTTGTTGTTGTTGTTGTTGTTGTTGTTGTTGTTGTTGTTGTTGTGACTGTTGTTGTTGGTGTTGTTATTGTGTGTGTGTTCGTACGGTCCTAGATCCTATCCTCATCCTTGTCCCCGTCCTCATCTTCATCCTCATCCTTATCCTCCCCGTCACCCTTGTCCGCATCGGCATCCTAACCTGCCCCCGTTCCCGCCCGCTTCCCCCTCGTGCTTTTGTTGATCGCTCGCCTCCTCACCGTCCTCCCCCGATTCCCATTCCGCCTGCTACGTGCTCTCTTTTTCCCCGTCCACCCCGTGCCTGTCCGTACAGCCAAGACGCGGAAGCAAGGATCACTTTGGGCTTCGGAGGGGCTCTGGTTTTCGGCCGTTCCTTAGATTTGGGTCTGGGAGCCTGTTCGTGGCTGGGGCTTGCCGTTCCCTTTTTTATTCAGCGTGTGTTTTGGTAGTACGATGACTGTATCGAGTCGCGCTGCCGCGCCTGTCTGCCGCCGCCCCCGAGACAATACCCACTGCAGGGACAGCTTTGCACAACAACCGCTGCAGGCGCAGTCTCCGCAACGGCAGTGCACTTGTGCGGTTGCGGAGCGGCAAGGGCGCAGCATCATTGTTGAGTGGGCAGGCGTTTGGGGAAGAGACCGCGCTGGCGAAAGAGGTCCCGAGGGGATCCCAAGACGGCCCCCAGATGCAACAGGGAAGGCCCTGAGAGAATCTCCACATGACAGTCAGCAGGGTCCGCTCGTTTCGACCGCGCATGGGCTCCCAGAGGGCCCCTCAGAGGAGCCACATGCCCCCCGCCTATAAGGGCCCCAAGAGGGCCCCAGGAGGGTCCCAATAATCGAAGGCAAGCCACCAGCACAAACATTACTTTTTCGGACATCCGCGTCGGAGGCGCCGCTACTGGGGTCCAGCGTTGATCCAAGTCATCCGCGCGGACCTACGCTTTCAGTCGCAGCGGTGGCGAACGCGCACCGCGTCCGTAGCCTGAGCGGTGGCGCTGCTGGGCAAATTGTGCACGGGCAGGCGTGAGGCATAAGAGCACGGCTGCGAAGGAGGAGGTTTCCTCTTCCGAGGGCGCCTGGCGCCTTCCCTCCCTGTCGGCGCTGGAGGCGCCGCCAGTGGGGCCCAGCGTCGATCCGAGAAGTCAGCGCGGACCTCCGAAAGTTTATGTTTGTGCCGCTTTTTCCTTCAGACAGCGATTGGCGCGCCCCCACAGAGGCATCCCCTGCCGTCGTCGCTCCTGCCAGCCGAGCGCCGACCCAGACCCACGATGAGGAGGAGGAGGAGGAGGAGGAGGAGGAGGAGGAAGAGGAGGAGGAGGCGGACGAGGAGGCGGAGGAGATAAGAAGGGTAATAAGGAGGAGGAAGAGGATGAGAAGGAGAAGGACCAGGAGGAGGAGGAGGAGGAAGAGGAGGAGGAGGAGAATACGAAGGAGGAGGGAGGAAGGATGAGGAGAGGAGGAGAGGAGGACAGGCAGAGGAGGATGAGGAGGGAGGGAAGGAAGAGGAGGAGGAGGAGGAGGAGGAGGAGAGAGGAGGAGCCGGCGGATGCGGGGGAGGCGGAGGAGGAGGAGGAGGATCAGGATGATGATGATGAGGAGGAGGAGGAGGAAACGGAGAAGGAGGAGGAGGAGGAAGAGGAGGAGGGGGAGGAAGAGGATGAGGATGATGAGGAGGAGGAAGAGGAGGAGGATGAAGAGGAGGAGATGGAGGTGGAGGAGGAGGCGGATGAGATGGTGAGGCTGCTGCTGATGATGATGATAATGATGCTGTAGCCGATGATGATGATGCTGATGATGATGATGCGGATGCTGATGCTGATGAGGAGGATGATGATGTGGAGGAGGATGAGGGGGAGGGACATGATGATGCTGATGATGCTGATGATGACGAGGATGCTGATGCTGATGATGATGATGATGAGGAGGATGAGGAACACTACGAGTAATACTATCACCATTAAGAATGGGACGAAGAACGCGACTCAGCATAACACTGCATACATTAATACTCATGGTACTGATACTACGATTGCTAATGCTAATCGGAGTAAGAAGACTAGTCATACTACTATTAAGAAAATAAGAAGAGCAATATCAATATATCATTATATGTATGAGAAGAATACGGGGAACACTACTGGGGCCAGCACCAAACATCATACTAATAATGCTAAGACGCATGCGGCACTACTATTACTACGAATAGTAAGAACCAGGCGAATCATGCGACCACTAATAGCACACTTGGCAATATCATTATTACTATGCATAGCAAGAGTAATTATGTCAATGTTACTAACGGTACGACTACTAGTAATGTTAAGTATGTTGTTATTCCTATTAATATGTAGACTGATACGACTAATACTGATACTACTAAGAATAAGAGTAGTACTACGAACATGAATAATACTACTAATATCCGTAAGGGCTTCGCCCCCTGCCGCCGGCCCCCTCTCTCGGATAATGGGCCATGGAAGAGCTAAGTCATGAGGTCTTGGCGCTGTCGTGAAGCAGTATCGAAACTTCATGCGAAGCCGATTCGCAATCAGCAAAACCAACTGATCACAAGAGGGGTTACCACACCTGGCGATTGGTAAGACGTGTATGGTTTACGGGCTTGGTTACCACACCTTGCGATTAAAGGGCCGAGGGAGTTCTCGCAGTTTGGGTTACCACGCCTTGCGATGGATGTGCGTGAAGGGTGGCACCGAATTTCAGAAATGTGGCAAATCCCCTGTGTTTTTGGACCCTGACCCCGCGGATCTGCGTAAGGGGTGGCACCGAATTTCAGAAATGTGGCAAATCCCCTGTGTTTTTGGACCCTGACCCCGCGGATCTGCGTGAGGGGTGGCACCGAATTTCAGAAATGTGGCAAATCCCCTGTGTTTTTGGACCCTGACCCCGCGGATCTGCGTGAGGGGTGGCACCGAATTTCAGAAATGTGGCAAATCCCCTGTGTTTTTGGACCCTGACCCCGCGGATCTGCGTGAGGGGTGGCACCGAATTTCAGAAATGTGGCAAATCCCCTGTGTTTTTGGACCCTGACCCCGCGGATCTGCGTAAGGGGTGGCGCCGAATTTCAGAAATGTGGCAAATCCCCTGTGTTTTTGGACCCTGACCCCGCGGATCTGCGTGAGGGGTGGCACCGAATTTCAGAAATGTTGCAAATCCCCTGTGTTTTTGGACCCTGACCTCCGCGGATCTGCGTGAGGGGTGGCACCGAATTTCAGAAATGTGGCAAATCCCTTGTGTTTTTGGACCCTGACCCCGCGGATCTGCGTGAGGGGTGGCACCGAATTTCAGAAATGTTGCAAATCCCCTGTGTTTTTGGACCCTGACCCCGCGGATCTGCGTGAGGGGTGTTGATTTCGAGGCCCCCCAGCAATTCAGACAACGCGCCCAGGGGACGCTAAAAATCCCGTTTGGGCCTCCCCCCCCCTCGCGCGGTCAATCAACTAGTTACAGTAACCAGCAAGAAGCAAGCCTGTAACACTGGAAACTACAAGCTACAACTGGTACAGGAAACTGCGAATCACGGGCCTACAGCCTGGTGGCCCCACAAGGGGGCCGGCGGATTAATACTGATGCTACATACCAGCAATAATAAGACGAAGAGAGAAGAAGTCGGAGGAGAAGGAGGAGGAGGAGGAGGAGGAGGAGGAGGAGGAGGAGGCGGC